CGTCCTGGGTCCCAACTCTGCTCATGAGTCACTGTGGGCTTTGGCAAGCTCCCTCCCTCCTCACCTTCCCTCCATCCTTGTCCTATGGGGCTGAGGCCAAGGCTCAAACTCCCTTAGTGGGCAGGATGCCCAAGTGTCTGCCATGGATGGGAACCGACGGCTGAGGGTGGGGTCCAGGTGGAACCTGGGACCCAGATGCACTGACTGAGACCTTGCGGCTCTGAGCTCAGGCAGGCCTAGCTCCCCGCAGTGGGGAAGGCAGGCCAGCGGGAGGGGCTGGCTGGACCCTGCCCCCGGAGGGTGGAGGGACGAGGGCGGTGAAAGGGCCCTTCACATAGAGCCACACACAGGAAACCTTTCCAGCCACCACCACCATGTGAGAAAACTGCAGTGACCTGCAGCCCCCTGGCTGGCCAACCCCGGCTCAGCGGAAGGACGTGGCCTCGTGGCTTCAGGGTGGAGGAGAGTGACAAGGGGAACAGCTGAGCCCTCCCGCCCAACTGCTCCGGGCTGGCTGTGGGCCCGGGGGCAGGCACAGTTTCTTGGCAATAACTTGGATCTGCCTACAGATCTGGCTTGAAGCCCCGCCCTCGGACTCCCAGGCCTGTCTGTCCATCCCGCCAGTCCTGCAGCGCCCTCTGCTGTCTGAGTCCATCGTGACAGGCCAAAGGTGAACTTGGCCCCGAGACCCTCTGAGGGGCCCCAGCCACCCCACTGGAGAAGGCGACAGGGCTTTGTGGGGGTGGGGAGCCAAGATCCCCATGTCGTGACTCCCTCGTGTCAAAGACAGTCCCGCTGTCCCTGCCAGGCCGTCTCTAACCTGGCCAGCCAAGCGTTTAATACAGTAAATAAGTACACTTTTGCTCTCTCGGGGACCCACTCCCCTGGGCCTCGTTACTGAAAACAGCAGATCCTTCAGCAGCCTGGCGGGAGGCAGCGGGGGCGCTGGGGGAGTGAGACCTCGCCCTGGGAGCCCCCGGGAGCGCTGACAACCAGCTGAGAAAGCCTAGGAATGAGCGCAGAGAGGAGGGAATCTTCGGCAGTGCTGGAAACCTGCGCGGACCTTAAGCCCAACGCAGAATTTAAAAAATGCTGTTGGAAGCAGAGCTATAAAGAGAACACAGGAAACGTGGCAAACAACGTATTTATTCTCCTGCCCGAGAACAAATAAGAGTGATGGAGGGAAAAGGGGGCCAGCTACCCAGTCATGATTAAGAAAATGAAGAAAACGCTTCTGAACGAGAGGGCCAGCTACCCAGTCATGATTAAGAAAATGAAGAAAACGCTTCTGAACGAAAACTGAGACCTATTAAATCAGACTCCCGGAGGCTTCTTGAAGAAAGACATTTGTCTACAGATACTTCTTCATTAGAATTTAATCAAAACCATAAGGACCTTCCAAGAATCCAGGAAGAAATGTTTAAAGATACAAGACTGATGTTGAATCCTGCTACACCAGCCAGAAAGAGGAGAAAAGTGGAGGGACATTTCCTATAAAGCTAAGAGAAAAATTACTTTCATCAAAAACTGGGTATGCAGCCAAACAAACACACCTTTTTAAAATAGCCATCACATTGTGGGCTGAACTGCGTCTCCCGAAATTTATAGATGGAAGCCCTAACCCCCACCCCTGTGCTTGAATTTGAAGAAGTGATTAAGTAAAGATGAGGCCATGAGGGTGCGCCCTAATCCAATCTGACTGGTGTCCTTCTAAGAAGAGATTAGGACACACAGAGGGACACGAGGGATGTGCCCACAGAGAAGAAAGAGTTTGCGAACACACAGAGAGGAGATCTGTGAGCCAAGGGGAATGGCTTCAGAAGACACCAGTCCTGCCCGACACCTTGATCTTGGACTTCCAGCCTCCAGAACCTTAAGAAAATGAATATCTGTTGTTTCAGCCACCCAGTCTATGGTATATGGTGACGGCAGCCCCAGAACACTGATTACACATGGATATAGATACCTGAAAACAACTTGTCAACCAACTGCCAAACTAGCAAAAATCATATATAGACTTGGAAAGACGTGAGGTGCTAGAAAACGAACTGTCCTCAGATGTTAACAAAGGGTTCATGACAGCATCAGGTCCTCTGACAAACTGGAGGGGGGCTGTAAGGAAAAAACTTAGAATTCCGAAAAGGATTTCCATCAGCCAAGATATTTCAGCAGCTGGGTTGGAGGCGGGAAGGGTAACCCACATCCTTGAAGGCTTGTTTTCCTCCAGAAGCCGTTGAGAGTTTAATGATATTTAATGATAAATTAAAGGGGAACAAGAGCAGTTTTGGAGGGGCAGTAATTAGGTTTATTTACTCACTTGTTAATTATTATTATTATTATTTTAATTTTTAATGGAGGTACCGGGGATTGAACCCAAGACCTTGCACATGCTAAGCGCTGCGCTCTACCACTGAGCTACACCCTCCCGCTAAGAGCAGCTTTCAGAATCCTTTTCATGCCCATTTCAGTGGCGTGCTTCTTACAGTCATGATCTCTTCCTGTTATTATTATTCCTGGTGACCAGCGTGTTAAAAAGGCAGTGCTACCTACCTCATGCATCTTATTAGGGAAATATGATATTGGTTCCCTAATCTGATAAGCCCAGGACCAAAAAGTTATAAGTGATGTAAACATCCCTGAAGCTGCCCTTCCTCTAGTCTTCTGCACCTGAGACCACCAAGGTGCCGAGTGGACCGAGGGGAAGGGACCAGGAACCGGCAGACACTGGATCTGAGTCTCGGTGTTTCTCTTGACTGGCTGGTCTTCTTGGGGTCCCTGCACTTACACCCCCTCCTCCTTAAGCAAGGAATAAATGGGTGCACACATCTGTGTGCACGTGCTGGTGCAACAAACGTGGGTCCGCTTGCCCGTGTGTAGTAAAGCCAGTCTACTGACCCCAGGTCATGGTGAAGGAAAGTGCAGTGTTTATCGCCAGGCACCAAGCAAGGAGTCCAGGCAGCTAGTGCTCAAAAGGCCCAAACTCCTTATTTGATATTTTAAATTACACAGAAATATATTTGTTGGAAAAAAGGAAAACAGTCAACAAGACACAATAATAATAGTAATGGAGTCATTAAACAAAGTCAAGGACCTTTGGCTCCTCCTCAAGGGCTGGAGATAATGTTCTGGGCCACAGCCTTTGGGCTGTTTTGCCGAGACTGAAATCCCCACCGGGTGGAAGAAGTTAATTGCGTGCTGCCCACCAGCATGGAGACCCCAGACCTGCTGGAACCAGAAGGTTGATATTGCGGACTCCCGATGACCTCACCACCAAACCCATCATAAGCATGTCCACGAGCTGATCATGCACCCCACAGCCCCCATCCTTCACCTTGTCTTTAAAAACCTTCCCCTGAAGGCCGTCTGAAAATTCAGGCCTTTTTGAGCACTAGCTACCTGGACTCCTTGCTGGGCGCCTGCAATAAACGTGGCGTTTTCCTTCACCATGACCCGGGGGCGGTAGATTGGCTTTACTGCCCGTGGGCGAGACAGGACCCAAGTTTGGATCGCTAGCAGTGGGGGAGTCCACCCCGCCCCAGAACCCCTCAGGGCCAGCCGAGACCTTGCTGTAGCAGAAGAGATGGGACTCACAGGTCCTCAATCCTTTCTCTGAACTCTTGAGAAAAGATGTGTCTCGAATTCAGAACTTTTCAGAAGAGAGGGAGGGACAGTGTGGCTGAGATGAAGTATCAGATGTTGATTCGAGCAGGAACGGAAGAGCAGATCCAAATCCCACCCGCTGAGAGTCTGCAGTGGCGCCTACGCTGCGGGACCGCACCAAGACAGACGTGTTCTTGGATCGGTTCTGGTCAGGTTTTGCCACTGAGTGTGTTTGTGGCAAACTCAGGAAAAATGTTTTGGTTTTCAGAGCTTTTTGGCATTTGGAACTGTGGATAAAGGATTGGGGACCTGCCTTTCCCTCCTTCTGGGTGTGGCTGAAAGTTCCTTTCTGGACCTTCCTGCTGTGGGGAGAAGTAGAGAGGAAAAGTGCATTGATTTTGCACCCACTATGTGCCTGATACACATTGGCTCTTTCGCTTCTGTGACCCTGTTAAGGCGTTGGGTGCTGGTGGGGACCCACTTGGACCTCCCATTCAGGGGAAAGGTCAGTTTAGTGTGATCAAAAAGCAGAAAACAGGCTGCTAATGTGTTTACCCAATGCCTGGAGCAGGTGGGAGGTTCATCCGCTAATCTCGCCCAGCTGCCTCTCCCGGCTGGCGGCACTGGGAGGAGAGGGGCTCGGAGGGGCCCAGCAGAGCCCCTCAGGGTCTCAGATCGGCTGAGCCATCTCCTTTCCTCCCCTTGGTGGAGAAGAGCCTTCTTCACCGGGGAGGTGGGCTCAGGGGCGTGGCTGAGGCTTCCCTTCCTGCTAGTCTGGCCCTTGAGCTAGGCGGGCATTTCCTTTTCAGTCCTAGTCCTCAGCAACCATGAAAGCTGCAGCCCCACGGCTGTTCTGGGGCCTTGAACCTGTGCTGGCTCCATGGTGGGGGAGTTCATCAAAACCATTCCAGGGTGCCTGAGACCCCAGGGGTCACCTCAGAGCTGGGGCACTGAATCTGCTTGAGACCACTCCCTTTCCTGGGCAGCCCTCCCCCATCACTTGGCCCAGCACGAGTGGTTCCTCCAGCCCAGGAAAGGCCTAGAGTCTTGCAGATTTCTTCCTTTCTCCCTGGCTTTGCTACTGGGAGCCAGGGAAGTGATCAACTCAGGGAATGAGAGGTGGGTTCCAGGAAGGGGTGGGCTGGAAACAATTCATATCCATCCATCCATTCATCCATCCATCCATCCATCCATCCATCCATCCATCCATCTATCCATCCATCTATTCATTCAACCAATATTAATTTAGCTTCCTGAGGAGGCACCCTTAAAGGATGGAGCCTTTCCTCTCACCCCTAGATTGCAAAGTAGGGTACCAATAAAGTTTTGTGGGCACAACCAGAAAAACCCCAGTACCTCTGGCCGTGGGCCACCCCAAGCTCCCTGGTTGGGCTCCTCCTCTACAGTTCTGTCCCTTTAGGGAGTCCTGGGGGCTTCAGCACAGGCTCCGCCGCTGTGCCCACTGGCCGTGATCCCAGGGTGCAGGGAAGGTGGGCGTTGTGGATGACCTCTCGGACAGTGGCCCGGAAAGTTCTGCTGACAAAGCAGTAGAGGCCAAAGTTGACTGCTGTGTTGAGCATGGCCACCATGTTGGCCACGTCCAAGGCCAGGTGGACCCTCCAGTCCCGGTAGACGGGGGCCACGTACAGGTGGTAGAGAATGACAAAGATCCGAGGTGCCCAAAGGAGGGCGAAGAGCGTGGTGACACCCAGAAGGATGGCGGTGCTCTTGCCCACCCAGGGCCGCAGCCCGCTCTGGCCCCTCCTCCGTAGCCTGCAGACGATGGCCAAGTTGGCAACCAGGAAAACGCCGCAAGGGATGAAATAGACAATGAGGCAGTGAGCCCACTTGAGGACCTCATCCATTGTGCTGGGAGGGTCTGCATCCCTCCACACGTCCAGCCACCAGTAGAAGGGGATGCCGGTCAGAAGGGCAGCACCAAGGACAAAGGCGATGGCCCGGTGCGTCCGGCCTGGGGACGAAGTGGCCCGATGGTGCAGGGGGTGGCACAAGGCGCTGTACCGGTCAATCGTGAGCAGGACGGCGATCCAGACGGAGGCATGGTTGGCAGCAAACTCCAGGATGTTAGCTGTGCGCACCACGGCCTGGGGCACCTCCCGGGCCAGCACAGCTCCCTGCAGGAGGAAGCCCACGAACACGATGACCACCTGGGTGACGATATCCGAGGCTGTGAGTGCCAGAAGGTAGTAATAGGAGGCCTTCCTGGTCCTGGTGGCAAGGCGGGCCAGTGCCACTGTGGTCAGGAGGTTGACTGACAGCAACCAAGGTCACGGAGGGGAGAAGTCAGAGGTGTTAGCTGCTCAGATTTGCTTTCTCATCGTCCCTCCCCACCTGCTGGCTCTAGCTTCTCTTTTCCTCTTTCCAGACCCTTCTTAAAACTGACTTGGTCAGGAAGGCTGAGCGGATCAGCCCTGCCCTGTCCAGCCATACACTCCAGGCCACTGTCTTCACCCAGGAGCGAGGACTCTGTCTAACGCACTGGCTTCCCTGGCGACAGGAAGGGGTGGGCAAGTCCCCATTTCCACCTGTTCTTTCCTGCATCCCCCCGCCACCCCGACCCCCAGCCCTCCTCTCTGAAGGCGGTGGATGGTACAGGAAGCTTTCAGCGCAGATGAGGGCAGTCCTACATGAACTCAGTCATCCTAGGAGAATGCCCACACCTGGGGGGTAAAGGGGGCTGCCTGCTCTGGTGAAATCTTGGGTTTAATTATTGAGTACCCCAACTCTCGGCCCCTCACGTTTACCCATCACTATGCTTTGCTCCCCAGTGACCCAGAAAGGCAAGAGGATCCTTGGGGTCTATGATCCTGGGTCTCAGGGGTCAGCACAGAGGATCAGCACCCATTGAATGAGGACCCCAATTTCTGGCCAACCCCAAGACTCCAGACCCCAGCTCCCCACTCACCAGGCAGCCCCAGGCCCAGCAGGATGCTATAGTAGACGACAGGGATGACGCCAGCCACGCACGGGGACCTCTCTGGGGTCTCCGGCCAAGGGCTTCCGAACGCCTGGCTCAGCTCACTGCCATTGGGTGTGGGCAGCAGGGTCCCTCGTGGCTGGCCAGCTAGGAAGGGCGGAAGGGTGGGTTAGAGCATTTGGTCTCTTCCCAGCCTGGTCTGGCAGCAGCCCCACCTTGACCCTGACCCTGAGGTCTTTATTCACCCCTGCTCCGTGCAGACCCCCGGTCAGGCCCAGCCAAATGGTAGCCCCTGTTGCCAAGTCCACCCTGCCCCAGTCCACCCCCTCAGTGGCCTGGCTCCCCCACTGATGGGAAAAAGTATTCAGCTGGGTTTCTGGCTGTCATAGAGATTATTCCTCCATCGCATTCCTCCTGGTGGAGCTTCAGCCTGGACAGCAGGGCCCTGAAACAGGCTGCTTGTCGCTGTAGGTGGGTGGGGAGGGCGCTTCTGAAACAGGGGTTCCTGAGCTCCCTCCAGGCAGCCGGAGCCAGGGCATCTGGAGTGGGGCTTGAGCAGCTGTGTGTTTCAGAAGCATCTTGGGTGATCTGGACTCAGGTAACTCACAGCAGCAGCGCTGCTCTATGAAGCAGCCACCCCCTCGTTAAGGAGAACTGTTTCTAGGTTCCTCTCCTTTCTATACTAAAGACCACCCGCCTTCTGGTACCACTGGAGCTGGAAGGGCCCTGATTTTCAGATGGGGCAGCTGAATCAGGAAGGGTAAGGTGACCTGCCAGCGATCACACACAGCTGGCTTGGGACCAGTCTGGGATGCCGGCAGCCACGTGCTCTGGACCCTGCCCCTCCTCAGCCCACACTTAAGGACTTTAGGTTTCACCTTCCAGCTTTTGATTTTTTTCCCATCTGCTTCAAGCTCCCCATCCCAGGCCTCCAGATTCCTTACTGGCCCTTCCATCTTACGCTCCCTGCCCACCCCCGTCCTAGATGCTTTACCTGTTGCTGGTCCCTCAAGCCTCATGCTCCTGGGTCACCCTCTGGCCTTTTCTGGGGGTTCTCTGCTGCTCCCTCCCAGCATCACCAGCTCTCCAAGTGGTTGTTCGCCCCACAGTTCTGCCAGCGGTGCTGAGCTGGCGGCAGTCGGTGCAGAGAGGTGGGGTGGTGGGAGGAGGGAGGAGGAGGAGGGAGAGGGTGGGGCTGAGGCTGAGGGGAAAGAGCCCGTAACATAGACGCGGCCTGGAGCAGACGAGGATTGTGTGAGTGCACAGGCAGGGAAGGGGTGAGGCTGGGAGGGAGGCCTTGGGGAGAGGGCAGCATCGGGGCTCTGGAGAGGCTGCCTCGTGCTCCAAGAGCACTCTGGGAACTGGCCTGGGCTCAGTCTGGCAGTCACATCCTGGTGGGGAGGACTCTGGGGGCAGGCAGAAGCATCCCAGGGAATGACTCTATGGACTGCAGAGAGGAGTGGGGGAAACCAATGCCAGGGAGGGAGAGGTGAGGCTGCCCTGGGCAGGGCCCACATCTGGAGAGAGACCTCATGGGCCAGGTTTGAGGGTGTCTGCTCTGCAGTGGCTGTGGGTAGTGGGACAAGAAGGAGGCTCCCGAGGGGCTGCTGGCCTGGAAGGATGGCAGGAAGCTGTGCGCCGAGCCAGCCGTGACCGCCAGAAGTCTGACCAGGCTGCCAGCAGCGCTGGGAAACCAAGACCCAGTGGCCCCCTGCAAGCTGTTGTTTTCCTGGCCCTGGTGAAATGGACCATCCTTCAGAGAATATCAGTCACTGGCAAATAAACACCATCCGGCGCAGCCAGCACTCCGGAGAGGCTGGAATCTGCGCCCAGCCAGCTCCCCCACCCGACGCCGGCAAGAGTGACCATTGCAGCCCACAGTGAGCACCCAGGACACTGTGTGGATTGACTCGGAGGAGAGCTGAGGCCCAGCCTGGAATCACGTCCCACGCTCGCTCTCTGGGAATGTCGCAGAGCCGGTTTCCAGGCTCCCTAAGTTAGATCCCACCTCTGGGGCTGGAGCTACCTGGACTCCCACCTCCAGCCCCACCTCCGCACCCACGCTGGGCACTCAATTTGCTGCCCCCTGGTGGCCAAGTCCTGACCCTGCAGGCCTCCGAGAGCCTGCCTTTGGCCAGGTCCCCTGACCGCACGGTGGGACCAGAATAGGCAAGACCCACTCAGGTCCCCAGGCAGAATGTATGCGACTCCAGCTCCAGAGAGTTCAAGTAGCACAGATAATTCCTCAGGGTGCCACCTCCCTGCACCGGGAGGCTGTGGCTGGGCAAGGACCCACTTACAGCCATGGGTGAGGGTCTCTGCCAACACTTCCTGAAGACCTATCCTGTCCTACACGTGGCACCCTTGAAGCAGCCCCACAGGCTAACTCTGGTCACCTCTGTTTCACTCAAGGGGAGATCGAGGCTCAGAGATGTCCAGCAACTAGGCTAAGGCCACGGAGCTAGTACGTGGCAGTTTGATTTGAATTCAGTTTTGTCCCTCCTCCAGAGCTCCAGAAGAGCAGGCGTTCAGGCAGCGAGAGGCCACTGAGAGCTCAGGCTTTATGGAGGAGCAGAAGCGGGTCCGGTGGACAGCACTCCGATGGGGAAGGCAGTCCAGTCGAGGGAGCAGCATGACGGAGGTGCTGAGGAGGACAGTGACGGGACAGCCTGGCTTCAGGGGAAACTTTCAATGGCGTGTGTGTCAGTTTCTTCCGGGAATGAGTCCTCCTTGTTTATTACTGCTATGCCCCCTAGTACACGTGGCCTGGGACCTAAACTCACGAGTCCTGCTTCCCCAGGCTCAATGTTGGAGGGCACCAGAGCTCAGGAAGGGAGACGTCACAGGCGGAAGGGAGGCCGCAGCCTGGGTGGGGCTGGGACTGCGAGCCCGCCCCTCCCAGGTGGGTATTACCAGGGTCCTGCACCTGATCACCTACTCTGCAGATTCAGAAACTCGGCAGCCTGCCCCAAGCTTGCTGTTTCAGCACTAGAGATTCCTTGCCCCAAGGGGATCATTTCTGGCTAGTGAAATAGCTTCCCAGAAAAGACAGTACGGGGCTGTGGAAAGAAATGTCAAGCAGAAAAGCGGCATTTGAATCCCGGTGCTACGCTTTCTGGGTCGTGAAACCTCAGACGGGTTGCGTGGGGGATGAATACTCCTGTCTTGGGCTCGGGTGGGAAGTAACACATCTCTCTGGGAATTGTTCAGGCCCAGACTTGCTCTCAAGGAATTAGAGTTTCCAGATCCACAGGGCAAAATAAAATGGACTGCCTCAGACCTTCCATCTCCAAGATTGTGCAGGGCAGACGCCCTCTCATCTCTCTTCAGCTCCAAGACTTTCACATACATCACATGCACATACATGCATGCACATGCATGCACACATAAACACCACACACACACATACACACCACACACACATACACACCACACACACATGCACACCACACACACACATGCACACCACACACACACTCCAGAAACCCTTGGATTAAGAAAACGAGAACAGAGAATGCCTATTCCTGGAAAGCCAGTTTCTAAATCATTAGAGGAGTTTCAGGGAAAACAGAAGTTAGAAATAGTAAGATGGGGTCCTCTCAGGGACAGGGAGTCAGAGGTGACCCTCCTGGGTCTTCTTGATAACCTGGAGCCTCCCCGACCCCTGAACCCTTGAAATGCCAATCATCTAACTCTAGTAGGCAGATCGTCACTTGGGGTGCACCTGACAATCACCGGGATGCTCAGAGAACACAGTTGCCCTGGCTCCCAGTTGAAGCGTGGGAGATCCCACTGCAGATGGGCTACACTTCTAGACACTGATGCAGAGCCTCAAAGAGGCTGGAGTTAAGAAGCGTGTTTACCGAAAGACCGTTTTCAGAGTAGTGGGTTCTTTTCTCATTATGTTTTTATCAACAATAACATTCCTATCGAAAAGCCTTGTGCATGGAAGCCGGGATGGATTCAGAGGCCCAGCCCCCTGTCACACTCAGGCTCTGTCTCGCTGGGCTGGGCCAGGGAGGTGGTGCAGCCCACGGGAAGGTCAGGCGGGCAGCCAATGGGCAAGGGATGGGGGATCTGGACAAGGGGAGCCAGGCGTGAAGGTCAGGGCAGCCGGGAGGGGTTTCCACTGGGCTGGACAGCTGCGTCTCTGCCAACCCGGACGAGGCAGGTGCCAGACCCAATTCCTGCTCTCTCTGCGGCTCCAGAGAGGGGGTGGAGCTGGTGGGTCTCTGTGCCAGCGGGGGGCTGAAATCAATGCATCGAGCTGGTCCCTGGGATCCAGAGAGCAAAGGAGGGCAGGCTCTGACCCACCCCCGGTTAAGGACCTAGCCTCGGGAGAAACTCTGAGGCAGATCTCTCGGGTGACCCCCCACTTCAATTCATCAACTTCAAGGGACGCTCCCATGAAGATCTGGGCCAGGCCCTACTTTCTCCTGGAAAAGGTGAGGCCTCACCAGTACCCGGCCACGGCCACCCAGACTCCCCCTGGGCTCTAGACCCCACCCTCCTCTCTGTTCCTTTGTCCCCAGGTGAGCACGCCCTGCACTAACCCAGCCGGGGCTGCCGCTGAGCTCTCGGCCTCGGGTTTCCCGACTGTCGGGGTGGGTGCTGGGTCTGCTGTGTGTCTCCTGGGAACTCAGAGGTGGGAAAAGTTACAGAAGGAAGTTGGACAGAAGCTGGTAAAAGAAGCCTTCCAATGAGGCGAGCCAAGAGGCTTGGGAGCACTTGGGAAGGTGAATTAAAGGTCAAGAGTGGCAGGGCTTCTGCAGTCCCCATGCGCGGGTTTGGGCTGGTCAAGGCAGGGTGTGGCTGCCTGCCGAGGAGCAGCCTCCAGCAAGGCGGCCAGCCCTGCTCTGGGCGGAGGTGCACAGGGAGGCGTGCAGCTGCTCCATGCCCAGCCCTGCCATCTTAGCTCACCTTGACTCTGGGGGTGCGGGTGATCGTCACTGTCCCCGTCTCCCTAAAAGCCCATCACTTTCCCCAGAGCATGAAAGGAACATTCTTCAGCAAAGAACATGAAAATGATACCACTTGCCCGGTGAGCCCCTGTTTGAGACCTTTGTCCTCCTTTCTGGAGAGCTAGCCCACCCCAAAATGGGAGAGGGGGAGGGGTGGGAGCCTGAGCCTCCACCTCCCTCTCCTCTTCCAGTCCTCTCCTTTGCAGCTGGCTCACCAAGATGCTCCGGCCCCGATGCTGCCAAGTGTGCTCCGTGCCAGGATGGAGGCTGCGCCTGGGGACCAGGGGAGGGGTCTGGGGACCCTCTAGGCTGGTGGCCGCCGGTGGTCCTAGAGCCCTCTGCCTGCCCTCTGGAGGGCCTTAAAACTCCCAGGAGAGGGATGACCGGCTCTGCTGGGTGGTAGGAGAAGTGGGGGAGGGTGCCGGATCTGTTCCCCTCAGGGGCCCGCGGACAGCACAATAGCCCCTGGGGCTGCTGCTCTCTGGCTTAAGTGGTTGCCTGGGCAACAGCTGGGGCCAATTTCCACCAATCCATGGCAGAGGCTGGGTGGGGGGAGGGAAGCTGGCCGGGAAAGGGGGGTGCCGTCCCCTTGAGCTGGATCGTATATAAGGAGGAGGGATGTGAGCAGAGTGGTCTGGGCTTTGCAGTCCCTCCAGCGGGCGTGGAGGCCGGGCACAAAGATGCTTAGGCTGGGCTTCGCCAAGCCTGGGTCCTGGGCCAGCTTCTGGGCCATCCTGACCTTGGTAGGCCTGGCTACTCGTGCAGGTGAGTGGGCAGTGGGCAGGGAGGAGGGGCAGATCCTTCCGGCCCTAGTTGCACACAGCCGGGAGGGGGAGCTATCCAGCTAGCCAGGACGAGCACAGGATTTGATCCTACAGCTTTGTGGAGGAGGGCAGCCTGCCTCCGAGGGGAGGAGAGCTGAGCAGGCAGGCAGGGGTCTTTACGACCAAAAGGTCCTTCCACTGTTCATTGTCCCAGGCAGCTGGCCCAGGCAGAGGCGGGCAGGATGCCGCCAGCATTCAGGTCCTTCAAAGTGACAGCTTGGGGAGGCAGGGCTGTGAAATTAACCACGGGCTCCTCTCTCACCCTTTCTTCCTCCCTCTGCCTCCCTCTTACCCACAGATGCTCCGCTGTCCTGTGCGCCTTCTCCCTAGTAGCCCAGACGGGCCCCAGGCCCGTGTGTGTGTGTGTGTGTGTGTGTGCGCGTGTGTGCAGGGGGCAGCGGGGTGGGGGTGAGGGAAGCGGCTGTCCATCTGCTGCTGTCAGCTCCTCACACCGCGCTCGGCTTGGGGAAGCTGCTGGCAGTGTTTTCTGTCACTAAATTTTCTGTAACTGAGTGTGTGTCCCTATCTGACCCTCACGGTGTCCCTGGAAACACAGGAGAAGGGCCCAGTGCGCCTAGCCCGGAAGCGGGGGCACCAGCCTCAGCCCACAGGTACCCGGAGCGTTCCAGTCCAGTCCCTGCCCACCCTCTGTGCTTTCTCTGGTTCCCTGCCGGAGACCGGGACCCAGGAAGGCAGCTGGGCCTGGAAACAGCTTCCCCTGTGTGCTACAGCCTCCTCTCATGCTCTGCCCCTCCCCTACCACTCAGGGCTCCGACCTCCAACCCTCTCTCCCCTCCCAGCACACCAAGCCCATCCTCTTCAAGGGCCTTTGTGGGGCTGGTTCTCAGCCTCTGACTGGCTCCTTCCCATCACTTCCGTAGGGAGCCTGTTTCTGATTTCTGCACTGAAATGAGCCCCCACTCTGCTACTATCACCAGCCTTATTTATCTCAATCTAAAATTAGACAGCAGAGGGGAGGGTATAGCTCAGTGTTAGGGTGTATGCCGAGCATGCATGAGGTCCTGGGTTCAATCCCCAGTACCTCCATTAAATAAACAGATAAACCTAATTACCTCCCCCTGCTAAAAAAAAAATAAAACTAGACTGCTTATTTACACGATTACTAGTGTACTTCTTGCCTGTCTAATAAGATAACTTGTGCTTTTATGAGTGTAAGGAGCTGGCTTGCTTTTGTTCACTGTGATAGTCCGAGCTCCCAGCAGTGTCTGGCTTGTAGCAAGTGCTCAATAGACATTCGTTAGTGAAGGCGCTGCTTTGGACAACTCTTTCCAGGGGTTAGGTGGACAGTTCTTCAGCAGGTGAGAGGAGTGGGGACCAAGAGTTTCCTCAACCCTCGCCTGCAGGTCTGGCACCAGTGGAGACCAGCTTTGGATAGTTTATCCCATGCTGATTCAGGACCTCTTCCTGTCAGAATCCACCCCCCCTTCCAAGAGCATCCTCTCAGGGTCTGCTCAAGGTCAGGTTCACAAGCTCCCCCACCCAGGATGTGCTTGTGTGCACACACATGCATCCAGGCACCTCATGGGCACAAACAGGTGAGCACACAGCCTCCCCAGGCCCACCCGTCCTCTGCCCACATCCAACCACACACATCTCCAGCTGGTCCCTCTGCAGCCCCAGAATGCTGCCCGGGATCCAGGTGCCTTCTCAGGCTGTGAGGTGTTCCTTCCTCCTGCAGCCCACAAAACTGATGTCGGCGGGGAGTCAACGGGCACCTCCATCAACCACTCCCAGATGCTGCTGCAACGCTTACAAGAGCTGCTGCGGCAGGGCAATGCCAGCGACGTGGTTGTGCGGGTGCAGGCCGCGGGCACCGACGAGGTCCGAGTCTTCCACGCCCACCGCCTGCTGCTGGGACTGCACAGCGAGCTGTTCCGGGAGCTGTTGAGTAACCAGAGCGAGGTGGTTTTGCAGGAGCCCAGGGACTGTGCTGCCGTCTTTGACAAGTTCATCAGGTGGGGAAGGAAAAGAGGGAAGATTTCATCCCTTTCCAAGCCCCTGGCTTCTCCACTCACTGGGTCACGGAGGCCCCGGCTTGTAGCAAACATCATGTCCATTCCCTAGAGGTCACTAGGATGACTGTGCAACCACCTCCTTCCCTTCTCCCACCGCCCTCTTGCAAAGTGCAGTGTGACTCCCCTGCCCTTGCCTGTAAGCTATATGTGGTTTGATGTCGGATACCAAATGCTCGCAGAGCTGTTTCCAGACCTGGCCTTGAGAGCTTTTAAAAACTAGATTCCGGGGCCCCACTCTGGATCCTGGGCTTCACGACTCGGGTTGGGTCAAGCAATCATTTCTTATTCTAATGTCTCCGTGTGGTTTTGGTGTCTGGTCAGGTCTTGAACCACAGGGCGAGGGAACGGAAAAGTTTAGCCAGTTCCCTCCCCCATCTCCTACCTCCTGCTAGTGTGCTGCACAGAGGGCACCATTCACACTATAGTCTGAGAAATTTGCCCTGTCTTAATGGCTTAGACAAGGTGGCTGCAGAATTCCCTTCATTGCTTCCAACCTCCAGGCAACAGGAAGAGGGATAACACGGAAGGGCCAAAGGCTCTTCCCTGACCTCAGTCAGTTCTATTTAACCAGCCTTCCCCCAATCCCACTCTGTGCCTCTGTGCACCTCTCATTGGCTAGAATTTAGTCATGTGACCACACTCACTCTAAGGGAACCTGGGAAACATCTTTTATTTCCAGAGGCCCACAGCGAAGCTAAATGGCGTGCCCACTCTCCTGGCAAGTAACTGGCAGAAAATGAATCCGAACCCAGATTGTAAACCTGGCAATGGCAGAAGCCATGTCTCGCTTGTTCTAGCACAGAGCTCGGCACCCAGTTGGTGCTCAATAAATGCATGCTATTTCCGTGTCCCCACGAGAAAGGGAAAAAGGCCGTGAAGTAGGAATGAGCCATGAGAAGAAAAGACAGGAAGCCTCAGGGCCCACTGTTCTGTTGGTGCCCCGGACCCCGAAAGCTCTCCGCCCAAGGCTGAGTGCCCTCTGGACTCAGAGAGCGGCTCTGGGTGGGGTCGGGGCGTGAGTGGCGGGGTGCCTCATCTCTGTGCCTCTCTCGCAGGTACCTCTACTGCGGTGAGCTGACCGTGCTGCTAGCGCAAGCCATCCCCCTGCACAAGCTGGCCACCAAGTACGGGGTGGCCTCCCTGCAGCGGGGCGTGGCCGACTACATGCGCGCGCACCTGGCGGGCGGCGCGGGCCC